CGTTTCGAAGAAAGCCATCAACAATATCTTTGAATGGTTGTCACCTTTTCTTGATGTTTCACACGCAACTTTCCAGTTTTCAGAGCTGGAGGTCGGTGGCTGAACACTGATGTGCAATGGAACTCAATGAGAGAAGTGAATACATGTCAAAAGCCAGTTTAAAGAGATGAAAGTCTGACACACCAAGATATCCGCAGCTGCCATGTTGTGCAAGCACCTGTTCATGTGCTGGCTGACTGGTGCATACATTGACCTGATTGAGATGGCGGGAGAACGGCTGGCCAACAATTAGCTTCAATCTTACTAATTTTGGTGATCATGAGTTGGTACTGTGGGTTGGAGCTGTGGGTTGGTGCCGTGGGTCGATGCTAGGGGTGGGTGCTGTGGGGTAGCGTGTTGCGCGTGTGTGAAGTGGAGTTCAATCCGGCGCTCTGAGTGTGAGTGCTGGTGGGTAAAAGAAGAGGCGCATTCTGGTATTTAAAGAGAGCCCGAGACTGTTTGTGGCTTCTCTTGGTTTGCTTGTAAGACAAGTGGAGTCTTGCCTGCTTGTCCGACCATGCACGGCGAGTGTGTTCGAGCACCGCGGGCACCAAGGTTGCCACAGAGTCCGAACCAAGTCGGTTTGACTTGTGCTGCGTTGTGGCCCATCGATGCGCGCATTCGATTGCGAAGGAGCGGGACCTCGAACCGGGATGGCTAAGGAACTTTGACAAGGGAGAAGAGAAAATGGTGGCAGAGACGGTGATGCCTTCCTTTCATGACACATAACCTTCGAGATGCCTCCTGCTGGAAACTGATTGTGTTTGTACATTAGATTTCAATGACCTGATCATGGACACTGCTTTGCTTGGGCAGAATAGGAGTTGACGGCTACCTTATTGCCTTTTATATAAAATGAATAATCATGGTGATGATCCCGAATCGTGCTTGAAATGCTGGGAACGCCTTGTATCATTGTGGGCACATAGTATGCCTTTTGTGCAGGCTTGGTTTTTACGTTTACGTTTTTACTTTTACGTTTTTACGCGTAAAACATAAATTTGCAAAAGGGCCTACTTTTACGGCAATTTTTACGTTTTTACGGCTCCCTGGCACACGTAGTTTACACGATTAAAGTTGCATACAATGATCGGTCCTCCGCCATCTCCATCACCCGGAGCACAATGTCCACCTCGCCTGTGGCAAGGGCGATAATGGCGTTTAGCAAAAACTCGTTTTCTGCCTCTTCCAAGGCGTCTGGCTGCCACTCCCCGGACTCTGTAAATCTATATGTACTGTCCTTATGTACACCAGGCAGTTTTTACGTTGTATTTACGTATTTTTACGCATTTTTACGCGTAAAAACGTAAATACAATCAGTTTTTACGGCGTAAAAACCAAGCCTGCTTTTGTGTACAAGCTATTGCTTGGTGAACAGATTGTGGCGTTGATGGACTGAAAGTAGCCATATAGGAGCTACCGTGCTGGTGAACTACGACTTCAAGGGGACTTGCGAAGGGTATATCTGGGTTATGCGTCAAAAGTTACTACCAGGACGTGTGACGGTGAATTGGTTGTGGGAGCAGCTCTGACTTTCGGGAGCAGGCACGATGTTTATCTTAGGAACATATTCTCTTTTGGCAGTCTTGAGTCAGCCATTTTTGCTTCCTTTGTGATTTGCCCCTGTTGGCTATCGATGCCATCTTGTGCCTGCCTTCCTGCCGCGAACCTTTTCGCCTGGGGTGAGAGGAACGTGGTGCGGATTGCGACCACATTGACGTCAGAGACTACTTGTTATTAGACAGATCGATTAGTCAAGCAACGTGACCAGTGGAGCTGGAAGTTTGTGTGTGCCGAACAGACGCTGCTAAGCACCAGGAAAAGGGCCACATTGGCGAACATGCAGGGAAACTCGGGGTGGAGGTTTCCTTCGAAGGGCAACATCCCCTTCCCAACAGCCGACCCCTTGAATTGAAACACGCAGCTGTTGGGAAGTGGACGGATAGTGCGGCAATCGACAACTCCCTGGCAAGCTCAGTCCCACGCGGGACAGCAACAAACGTTGAGCACCGGAGCTGCTGGACCAACGGGCGAGCCTTGCTCGGTTGTGTCACTGTGCTGCAGCCCGAAGCTCATTGCAAACAATGCCCATGGGCAGTTTGCCGTAACTTACTTCGAATCCAGGGCATTGTTCGTTCCCCAGGGACAGCGTAGGCATCATCGTAGTGAGTAGTAGCAACTAGCTGCAGAGTCTGCAATACAGACATGACCGGTGGGCAGGGTTTCTTCTTCATCACCTCAGCCTCATGCGGTTGCTGGGATTAGTGTGTGTTCCTTTGGCCATACTCTTCTTCCTGGCCTACTTGTCGCTAAATTGACGCTGGATGCAGCAGCCAATGCGCGCCCTGGTGACTGGCACTGGTAGAAAACGGCATGTCTGCGATGCCAAGTGCGATGCTATTTTGACACAAAGTGATGCCGTCGCAGTGATTGCGATGGCAAAAAAGTGGCTGCGATGGCATCAATTTGTGTCAAATGGTGTCGCAATTGGCATCGCAAACAGGCTGTTTTCTACTCGTGTGGGCGTTGTGAAGGGAAAGCCATTGACGGATTTGATATTAGGTAGCCTTATGCCCGGGAAGGCGCTTGCAGTTGTCCGGTAGAAGAACCCTTCGTTCATCTGCCTGCGGACAAATCCTCCATTGTTTGGTATTGCGGCTGTGTGAGCTTCAGCTGAGGCGAGTTCCTGCTGACACTTCCGGGGTGTTGCTGTTGCCAACAGGCGTGTGTCTTGCCAACTACAGCGAATCGACACGCGCCTCAATGACATTCCCAGGAAGAGGGGAATCGCTGTTGGGTACCCGGACTGTGGAGTGCTTTGGGTGGAACTGACAATCGGCGCAGCAATGGGCAGCACACCTTTAAGATGCGCAGGAAACCCCCCGCTAAGCAATCAGATTGTCGATGAAGGAACGCGCTGGGTATTTGTGCGGACCACCCATTGGACGCCTCCCTCCCGTCCTGACCGCCACTAGTGATCGTCAGGACTGTTCCATTCGCGCCAGCCTTGGTGATTGCAATATCATCCGCAGCCCAGACGAATTGGGGATGGCTCAACTTCCCTTTCCTACTTGTGGGGCTGTTGTGCATCTATCACATCTGGGTGCGGCCACTCATCAAGGCGGACTAGCTATTGCAACTCACGTCCTCAAGATGTAGTTGGGACAAGCTGGAAGCACATGCGTTAAACGACAGATCCTCGTGAGAGCAACCACTAGTCAGTTTGTCTGCAAACCTCGGTCGAGTGGTGACAGTTGCCCGCTCGTTGCAGCTTTTCGCACCGTACGCCCTGTTCTTGAGGGTTGCCTCTCATGCAGACAAGAGCTCGCCTTCCGTAGGGCACGGGCAAGCGAGACAATGTGCAAACGCAGATTACATGCCAGAAACAAACTGAATCCACGATGCACCTAGGCCGCTCGGAACGAATGGACATGAACAAACACACACAGCGAACACAAACATGCGCGGCATTGTGTTAAGTTCGGTGGTGCTGGACAGTCCCCAAGGTGCGTTCCGTGCTCTGCAGAAGACACACGCTACAACGCGAGACGAATCTGATGTATCTTTGCATTCCCCTGTATGTGACTCAATCCTTCATGACCTCGACCACCCTAGCAATCCTCTTAACCTATCCTGACGGTACTCAATCTTCTCCTGTGTTCTCGAATAGACAAGCGCGCCGAAACATGAACTGGAAACCCAATTTATGCGACCGGAAAGCCGGGTAAACACAGTCAATCAAATACTACAACAGCAATGTAGGACGCCACAACCTGGGCGGCGCCTGCATCATTCTGTCAAATTAATGGAGACGCCTTCGATAGCTCCGCACTCTCAATAACTGAAACAGAACAAACGGTATTCAAGCCTTCATGAAATTGTTCGCCATTCGGTTCCACGCGTGGGAACAACCGATCCACGACCTGACTCAAAACTAGCAGCTTGACTGGCGCTGTGCCAATCAGAATTGACGCCCACTGACCCCCTAATGCGCACCGGCTCCGCTGGTATCCTTCCCACCCACCCTCCGCCGGTTTCCCTGGTATGCACCACTTGCGACAGAGCTCACCGCCTCGAAGCGGAGATGAGAGAAGGCACGAGTTCGTACGTCAGGTTCTCACGTATTTGTGCTCAACGAGCCACCGCTGGATCATGTCCCTCAGAGCGAGGTTCGGATACAGGTGGTCGTTGAGGAGTGGTGATTTTGACGCAGGGTCGGAATGGTGTTCGTTGATCCACTCTTCCACAGCAGGCCTAGGGGAGCAGGCGAATCAAGCGTCACCAGATATTGTGCAGCACAGGGATAGAAACAGCCTCCCAGAACTTTTGCAGGAAATGTAACACTGCTTTGCACCAATTTGAGGCACTGCTGGCCCTGCAACATGCACCTGTGGCAGCTAGTATGCACAAATGAGCATACCAACAGTGCTGCTTAGACAAGGTCAATTCGCTTTACCTCACCCCATTTCATCAGTGATTTACCAGTGCTGTGTCATTGGTAATCCAGTATTCCCTAGCAACATGGACAATACTAGGGTAACAGCAAGTTGACTGCAATCCAAGCGTGCCTGTTTTTCCATGTTTCTTCCTGGCAAAAGGGTGATCCTGTCAGATTCTAACGGCTGGATGGGCCAGAGGTGAACAAAAGGGATTCTTCTCATTGCAGGAAACGCACATGGGGGTCTGCCTCTAAGAATACATGCCACCTGTGCGCTGTCGCACCTATTGTAAGTCAAGCCCACAAGGACAACAAACAGAATGTCCTGCTCACATTTTGTTTGCATTCGCCAAGCCTTTGTGCCACTTCAACGACACATCATAATGATGCTGATGGATGGCCAGGATGCCTGGGTATCATCCCACAAAACGCTGGGTTCATGACGCCCAGGATCCAGGTACAATCCCAGAACGTTCCCAGGGCTGGCAAGGCCTGGATAGCAGATGTGTGGCAGAACAAGTACCTGTCATATGTAACCCCCGATGGTGCAACGACTGGCTCTGTCATGATCTCCATGGACATGGGGCACAGGAATTCCTTCGGAACCTCCTTGATGAGCCGTGACTTCTCCTTCCAAGACAGTTCCAGCTCGATCGGCGGGGGATGGGTGGACACCGTTCGCACGGGCTGCTGAGCCCTAAGAGCACTTTCCACTTGTAACCGGCGGACGAGAAGCTGTGGAAGAGAAGACAAAAACAATCAGTTTTCACCACATCGTCAGTTTCCTAAAAGGTGTGTTTGCCACCAATGACACCAGAATTCCATGTGTTCATTCTACTTGTTGATTCTGTGCAGCGCAGGATCCATTCCGCTGCAACACAACGACGAAAATGGTGCCAGTGATCGTCCTGAAAACTCTTCTGCATTTTCCAGTGAATGGTCTCCTATGATACCCCACCATGCTGCCGTGCCAGAGAGTGCAAATGGGGTTGCTGGATCCAACAACAGGATGCTAGTGCTGCACATTGAATGGGCGCATGACTATGCAGCAGCTGATCGCTTTATTACGTTGATCTTGTGCCCCCACAAACAGAGTGTGTACCTTATGCGCTGCTGGAGAGATTCCATACTTCCCGTTCCAGAAATGGTCAGCCTGTGCATCAAATCCACAACAGAATGAGTACCTGTAGATTCTGCGATGCTGGGTTTGAGGTCATGTGTGAATCCCTGAATGCACAAAAAAGATTCCAGAGCACAGACTTCCCCATCCCAGAAATAGGAAGGCCTGATAGCATTGTCATAGACAGCAGCACACAAAGGGTTTCAATCCATGAGTTCTAGAATGACCTCAATCTAAGGCCAGGTTTTGGTCACACCAGACCACAATATGACATCTGTCAAGACAGGGACGGGCACATGCACGCCCTCACCGTGGAGGCTGGCATCCACATCACCCTGTCCAGGCTCCACTCCCAGGACTCCACCCCGCCTGCGTCGGTCTTTGGCCGAAGATACAGAGACCCCCCACTCCGTGTCTGCCGAGTGTAGACCCCATCGGCGTCCGCCTCTCCAAGGTCCTTCCCAACCAGCCCTGCAGTGCCAGGCCCCTGCGCCAACACCATATTTCTTTCGCTTCAAGTCATTCCACCGCATTTCAGAGTCCAGGCGCCGGGCCCCCGTCCTTTTATGAAGAATGTGGGCCTCGTGCCACGTCACAAGAATTTGCTAGGCAAGGTGAAGCCCAACCGGTCCGTGTCGGAATCGCCGTGTCGCTTGACGACGCTTCCCGCAACACCAATCACCAAGGTCGATCCAGCACTCAGAGCGTTCAGACATCCCACAGTTGGGCTAGAAACCATTTTGCAATCGCACAAAAGCAAAGACTCGACCGGCCATCCGTTTCCAGCATCCAACTGAAGCTGGAAGACGCATGCTAGGCACCACCGGCCCGCTGTTCCAATCACCATCGACCGCTGCTGCGGCATCGCAAGCGCGAGGCTGCACAAGAGCCGGGAGAGGGCACATGCCACGGTGTGCCTGACCCAATGGGCACAATCCGGTAGAGGCGATGTTCGAAGGCCATAACCAAAGCGAGTTGCAGGCCACGCAGTGCTTGATGGAGCGGCGCGGGTACGAGCGAACAAACGCCAAGTCCACAGCCGACGCCACCTCCATCGATCGCCGATTCTCGGCCCAGGCAGAGCAATCCAGATCGCGACCGAAAGCCAAAATGCCACCGCCTTGCCCGGCATGGGCCCCATCATGTACCCCGACGCCTCCCGCGCCCCACCTGGTTAACTATCTGCCAGGTTCTCTCGATGAACTCGTCCGCCGCCAACCACCTCTCCCAGGCTGCCACGGCCCTCGTCCCAAAGAAGTAGACGCCCGCGGCAACGAGAGCGACGTTGAGCACCAGGCCCAGGGTCCACAGGCCGGTCCTGGCCGCCTCCGCGCCCCCCTGTGCCTCCCCCCCGCCCTTCAGCGAGTTCAGCGCCACGCTGACCGACCCGAAGACCAGCGCTGCCGTCGCCCAGCCCGACTTGGCGCCGCTCTGGCCGACCGCAGGCCGCCGCAGGATGCCCATCTGCGCGCGATCTGTTGAATTAGCCGAGGGAGGGGGGGGGGTGGGGGGGGTCGGTGCGTGGGAGGGCGCGGGAGGGGAGTCGGTCTGTCCGGGGCGGCCCTGCGGGGACGTATCGGGGAGGCCCGGGGGGGGAGGGTAGGTGCTCTCAAGTCCACCCACACTCGTCAGGATTTTAGGTGAGCGCCCAAGGTCCACGCACGGTTCTTTCTATGGTAATTTCTTGGTCATTTCTTGTGATACTTTTTTTATTCGCCGTATTTGTGGTCAATTTTGGCCGTCATTTTTCTTTGTCAATTTTTGTGGCTATTTTGGGTTTTGATGAGTGCGAATTTGTGAGAAACGGAGGCACCACCCGCGATGCACAGCTGGGTCCGGAGCTGACGTCAGGCAGCGCCCATGAGGTGGCAAAAATCAAGGCGCGTCGGAGGTGGGTGGGTCGATGCGAGCGCATCGTGTTGCTCACTCTACACAATGTGAAAAGTTACTGCTGCAAGGGTTGAAGATGTCGCGAGTGGATATGCGTGACGTGCAGGTCGGGCACGGTGGGACAGTAACTGATTGGGTTGCGCCAAGTATGGCTTCCGAGGAGGGACAAGAACAGACCGTCGACGCTGCCATGCACAGTACAAGACAAGGTTCCGCAATGCAATCTGATGACTGAAATTGTGGACAATGCTCCATGACCTCGGCAGACTCCTGCGGGCGTTCGCACCATCTCTCACATTTCTGGAACTTGTCTCAGACACTGTCCGCTCAGGCAGATCCGCCCCATTACTTGTCCTCGCCCAGCAGAAAATTCACAGCATTTGCAGACGCTTGACACTGTCGCGAAGGCTCAATCCAAGTGAGACCATTGGTCTCGGACCAGGCACAATGTGTGGAGCCACGCCTGTCAATGCAGACACAATGACTGTGCTGCTGGGAAAGCTGCCAAGCCGTGCGCTGCAGCTACAGCAGCATGCTCAGGTTCAGCGCATGCAGCGTCTTTTGAGCAGTTGCAGAACTTCGGGTTGTAGTAGCCTTGCTGGGTATCCTGACACCCATCCCCAGATCGGTGAAGCGCTTGCAGATTTGAAAGTGATTGCAAGATGCACATGTCGCACTGGTCGGCACGGCCACTGGTCCTTCTGCTCCTGACAGTGCCAGGCAGGCTGGCTGGCCTGCTGGGCGTTGCGTCTGGAAACATGCCTTGCCCATGTACTTCATGGAAGTATTACAAATCTACAGTGTCTGCATGCAAAAGGGTGGCTATAAAAGAGGCGTGCATGTTGGTGTGCCCCACAGTGAATTTATGCCCCGTTGGGTCCAAGGCCACACGTCATATGCATTTGCACTCTGTGGTGCGAGCCACCTCCTTCCAAGTATTGAAGCAAACTGGCAGGTGCGCTGACTATTGCAGCAGCAAAGTCATAGGGACCCACAAGCCCAGCTCCGATCAACTCCCCCCCCACCCCCCACCCACCCACACACACACACACACACCACACAGCATCTGCGCCAGTTCGCTCTCTGGCTCGAGTACAAAGTCGCATGCCCATGAGACACCCTCTCAAGGCTGATGGAGCCTGCGTTGTCTCTAACATTCCTATCCTACTAAACTCGATGCCTTCCCATCCAGCCCTCAGGCTCCAGAATCATGCTGGCCGCCCATTACTAACTGACTCAAAGAACGCATGCCCCAGGGCCTCTCTGGCAGTTATCCTGTGAGACGGCTCATATTGCAGTAGCCTGTGCAGAAGGTCGACCAGGCTCTGCAGCTGGTGGCGGCCAGCGTTCTCCACATAGTTAGCAACATAATCCTTGAGACTAGACAGCTTCCGAACGGCCCGCACACTCTTTCTGCTGCTGGCGCCCTGGGGCCAGAATAGCTGGCCATGCTCGAAGTACTTCTTCATTGCCTTGCTGCAGTTCCTGATCATCTTCTCTGGGATGGGGCCCAGAACCTGGACAACAGCGATGGGCCCATCTGTTGTGCATGTGCTCAGCAAGGTGACAACATTCACAAGGATCCGAGACCAAGAACGAAGCTTTCTTTAGGGACTAAGATTTCAGGCTTGCCACCCTCCATCCCATATTCGTGTTCAAGTATAATATCCCAAGCAGATATCCAATTCAGTGAATCAGTGAACACTAAGCATAAGATATCAATGCACATAGCGGTACACCAGAGCAACAAGGCCGATGAGCAGGCATACACTGCCCTCTCACCTTCTCCATCATGGCCATGTGCTCCAAGTTCTCGTGGGTCTGAAACAGGGCTTCCCCAGTGACCAGCTCTACAAGAATGCATCCGACGCTCCACATGTCACAGGGATAGGACCATCCCAAACCAAGGATAACCTCTGGGGCTCGATAGTGCCGGGTTGAGACCAACCCAGAGTGGTACTGATCTTCAAAGGTGGCACTCCCAAAGTCGATGACGAACAAGCCCTTGCTCGATGGCATCTTCAAGGATAGCCTAGAGGCAGCAAAAATGACACAATGGTTTGGCAGGGAGCTGCAGAGGATTCTGTTGCCTTCACACACATTTGCTTTTTGGATGGACAACACTGTGCCCACTCAAGAGCTCAGATGCGAGGTTGTGGACATACTTGTTCGAGATTTGCTGGCAGCAGTTGGTGGCACAGTGCTGTCAGTTGTTGCTCAGCACAGGCTGATAAACAACAGCAACTGCAAAAATCGACTCTGAAACGAGAAGCAGTATGCTGGAATATAATGAGCAGATGGCAAATTTTCTATGGCACAAAGACTTCCCGCATCCAAAAAATGGCGCAGGCCCATGCTGAAATCTATCCCATCGCCTTGTCAACACTCCAAGGCAACCCACTTTGTGTCCCTGCGATCTTGCTGCAGATGTTCTTGGAGTGCAGGAGTGCTGACCACCTTCTCTACGCCATCTCGTTCCAGCAATATGTTTTCAGGCTTCAGGTCTGTGTGTATGAGCTTGATCTCATGCATGTAGGCCACAGCCTCCAGCAGCAGGCGACCAAATTGTTGCACCAGTGGCAATGGGAACGGGTGATAGTTGCTCTTCCGGAGGAAATCATACAGACTGGGACCCAGCCTTTCAAAAACCTGCAGAAAAGGTAAGGTGACAAACATGATTTGGTCCACAGCCATCTCTTGTGGGGGTAATGAAACTTCACAGGCTGGCTATGCATGCCCTACTGCGGTAATATGAGTCCATTGCCATGGTGGCCACGTGCACACCAACACACCACCACCGCTCTTAGCTGCATGTGGCCTCTGCTGCATGTAGCAGTGCTACAAGCACCATTATCATTGATGATGATGTGTGTGCAGTGGGAATTTTGAGTGCTTCTTTGCTTGATTGACGTGTGGTGACAGCAGACGGGGAGAAAACAGCCCAAATACTGATTGGCAGCTTTGGACAAGCGAAAGTCACTCCAGCCCAAGGAGAGGACGGCATTGGCAAAGATATGGCCCACTCACCATGCACACATGCCCACGGTAATTAAACCACTCGTTGACAGCTACACAGTGCCTGCAATGAGAAGGCCAGCACCGGTCAGTTCAGCAATGGTATAATTCGTGTTGCGCAGAGTTGGCACAGGGAGTTCTCATGGGGTGGAGCCTGTCAAGAACAGCTAAAATGTGGTGCAATGCACCCCTACTTGCTATGCTGCCAAGCAGGGCAGAGTCATGCCAAAAGATCGCACCTCTTCCCTTCAGGGTCGTTTGCTTGAAGAGTGTTTAACACCTCGAGCTGCAGCGCAATGCCAAACGATGCCACAGCCACTATCAGGGATCCATCCAATGAGGCAAACACCCTGTAGGCGTTCATCAACACCTTTGCGTGTGTAGAGGCAATCTATTGGACACCAATCAGTGAAGAATGCTGCACAGAGCACCAGGGCCCTGCAACAAGATGTTGGTTTCATAAGCATTCCAGCATTTCATACTGGGCAAAGCGAACAAACCACAGATGCACTTCAAGGGGTTCCTCCGGGTGTTGAAAATGAAACAACACCTGTGACCACTCTTTCATGCACAACTGTGCCCCTTGGCTTTAATTTCATTTTCCCGCTCTTGGTGCAGCCTTGCTCATGTATCTGCCTGTTTACTTCCAGATTTTCAACTGATTCAAGGGCTGCTACTCCCAGGCGCTGTAGCAACACACTACAGACAACACAAGTGTGCTGTGGAGGGACAAGCGATAATTTAGACTAGTAGCCCCGAGGCCATGCACTGCATGCGTATTGGACGGGCTGAGAGGATTGCAGGTGAAGAAAGAGCAACTGCTCTGTTGAGCACCATAGTTACTTCCAAAGCTGCCCTGACAATGGGCACCAGGTAGGTGACAAGCCGTCAACCTCAAAACAACCCTGCTTGGCAAGCCCACCTCGATCATTGCTGCGTGCCGATACTTCTCTATGTTGCGTATGACCTTGATGGCCACGTATTTCTTCTTCTTTCGGTCCCAGCACTCCAGGACGCGACCGAAGGAGCCTGCGACCACACGCCAGCGCGTCACGTGCCGTGGCGAGCCGCAGGGGAGGCGAATTGGACAAGCCACAGCAAGCCTGGGGCCACCAGCGCCCACTCACGGCTCACCTTCTCCGATCCTGGCGAGCACCTTGTCTGTGGGCAGGGTGCGAAAAGATGAGTCATACGGGCGGGGTGGGCAGGCACGGAAGCAGGAGTCCCTGATAACGGGGCCGCCGGTCTGTGCGCTTACATCGTGAGGACAGGTTGTCGCCGAGCTCACAGACGTAGTACCCGTCCTGCGGTCACACACGCGCAGCCGAGCGCCGTCGCGAGCGTCAGCGAAGGGCGGCCAAAGCGCCGCACACGCGAGACCGGTGAAGCAGCGACAGGCGCCGGGTGAAGGATGTCACATTTCAAACAGATGCAAGCCATACAAAGGGTCACTCCTCCTGAGCAAGTGCGTGTGAGACTCTCTTCCGCACTGGGAAAAGACAGTGCACAGTATCCGGCGCAAGAAGCGCAGCGCAGGACGCAGGCGCCGCGATGAGCAAGCAAGCACGCGCCAAGGGGCAGGCGGGGGATGGGTCACCTCATCCGGAGGTCTGTACGGCGGCGACGGCCTGTCGGGGATCATGAAAGACTTGGGGTCCGTGCCAGCCAGCAGCCCCGGCCGCGAAATCTCCCGGTTGGCCCTCAGCAGCCGCTGATCGCCCATGTTCTGCGCCACAAAGCCACAAAGCACAGACGTCAGTCCCGATTGGGCAGCTGTGCGCCTCGGCGGGTTTGCGGACGATCCCGGGGTCCGCGTCTCCACCTCGTCGTTGGACCGCCCCGTGCGCTGCTTCTTGCTGGGCCGCTCGCCGGGTGGGCAGGCGTGGGGCTCGGGCGTCGGCCTGGCGCCCCACTGGCTGGCATCGCAGTCCGGCGAGGGCGGCTGGCTGTCTGGGCTGCCCTCGAAGCGCGCGGCCTTGGAGCTCATGGGCGAGGGGTGGGGGTGTGGGGGGGGGGGCGTGCGTGCCCGCGGCGGGTGGCCCGGTGCCTTGGATGGGGGAGGCGCGCGGGGCGGGGGGACGGCGCTTAGCCAAGGCCGGGGCGCATGACGGCCTGGTGGGGGTGATGGGCGGTGACTGGAAGGGGCGGCGGGAAGAAGCGTCGAGGAGAATGAGGTGCTGGCTCGTTGGTGTGAACATGTACCGCGCGGGCGGTACGGCACATGCCGCAGTGGCGCACGATGAATTGGCGAAGGCAGGCAGGGCCCGTGGGGTGGCCACCCCTGACTGGGGACCGTAGGCTCGAGCCCACGGCAACGGCTTACAGGCGAGCATAAGGGATAACCGGAATTCTGTCCTTTATATCTAGTCCGTTGATCAATGTCCTTAATGGAATTCCTTATGCCTCGTTCGATGGCCATCACGTGTGACTGCCAAATATGGCTGGTGAGTCACCGCCACGTGTACGCTTGGATCAAAGCACGTGCCCCACCCAGATCCATCAGTGGTGCCTTATGTTTCCTTTCTGGTCATTTTCAGATATCATCCACACATTCGTTGCAATTTCGAAAGTCATTTTATTCATATCATGCATCCATGAACATAACCCCTGCCCATATGATTTCCTTTTATCCATCGCAGTTCCATTCATGCATGTTTCGCACATCTGATTCTTGACCTTGGTCCCATGCAACATCCCTGGGTTGAGCACTTCAATGCAGCTTATCGTGGATCTGATGGCCGTTTCTCAGTCAGATTCTTATCCAGATTTCAGTTACAAGGTCCAGTATTTCAACAGCCATTGAACCTAAACTCTCAGAGCTTGTTTGAAAATGGAAACATTTATGGTTGCCAACTCAGATTCCCAGCGTTGCGTTTTCATGAAACAAAGCATGTCACTGCTCTTCAAAAATTCTGAGCGTTCATGTTTATGAATAATCGAGTTCCAGTCATACATCCTCAATGCTTTCCAACACATTTAAAAACGTGCATCACTGGCGGTGTTATGGAAACACATGTGGGTCGAGTGAAGTAAGGCCTTTAGTCATTTATCAAGGCCTATCAGTAGAAGTTGATTTATTATATAGCCTGCTTATGAGCTATAGATACTCGTAGACTTATTACATGCGGAATTCCCCCAAGTAATAGTGAAGATATGGCCTAGTGGAGTCCCAGTACTTTAAAGACAGGCCATGGGGGTATAGTGGGCTATGGTGTATCGATATGGGTCGGTTCTAGAGTACGCTAGGTGCGAGTGACGGTTGCATTATGTACTATACATTTGATGTCTGACTGTTGTAGGTGATTGGCCCCGGACCGGCCAATCACCGTGCACAAGGGGGAGGTTTGGTCCAACCCCTCGATGTTACCGTTCTGGCTCACCGCCCCGCTCCGCACGGGCCTCACGGCCTGGGGAACAACCTGGTGCCTGGTTTTTCTGCGCACGCCCCGTGCGATGGATCGACGATCCCTCCGGCGGATGGCCAGGCGTAATCGGCACGGTCGCTTGATCGATCTCGACGCGGCGCGGACGTGGTGGACCCCTTGGCGGAACGGCCTCTGTGGTGCGTCAGTCGGAATGGCGGATTGGGTCCGGCGTTGCCTTGCGCGCAGTTCGCAGGCAGGCAGTGACAGCAAAACAGATGTTCGTTACAGGGTTCCCAGCGTCTTGTTCCTGCGGCACACAGCACGGTTACATAACCCTCATGTCACCCTGTACTTAAACCACCGTCCCCACAAGCACCCAGACCATCCCCGAAGCCCTCTTTCTAATACAGCGATATGGCCCAAAAATGGCCAAAATCCCCAAATCGCCTCGCTGTGCTCGATGCTCACCCAAGGCGCGGATAATTGGTTTGCGCGCCTTTGCGTCGCATCTCACTCCGCTTGTATAAAGAACCAAAGACAATATTCACACAACACAACCGCCCGCGCACTCCACCGTTCCCGAACAGCCGGACCGCCCAGGCCGCATTCTTGGGACTGTGACAACCGATCAAGAGCGAGCGCGCGCCCCGATTACGCCCACCTCCCGTGAGGCGGAGGTGTCCGCGCCGTGCATGCGCGGGCCACCGGGTGACGGAGGGATCCAGGGGCGCCGACGAAACCACGGCGTTTGGGCCCACGCACCAAGTGGTTTCGGAGCCTAGGCAACCGGCGAGAGGACGCGAGATTGAAGCATCTGGAAATGATGAGACATCGCGCGGATGAAGCAGCTACCCCGAGCATGATAGAGGTGGCCACACTCGGGTGCCGTCCGGTCCGTTAAGTCCGGTCCGTAAAACTGAGTGTGATATTCATCCGCTAATATCCGGTCCGCTATTTGCCATACTACCGTCCGCAAAATCCGGCTCTCATTTTTCCTTCACCGTTATTTGCCGTTAAATTACCGGATGACGTGTGCGGCGTCCGGTCTGTAACAAAATATCCGTTGATTAATAATTTTGGTCCGTTATTACCCATAGGTACTTGCTTTCCAGCCACGGCAAGGTCAAGGCGAAGTTGCCAAGGGGTTTCCATTTTGCAACAACTCGAATTATGTTGGTTGCATGCTTGATAAATGTGTGTGGGCGTTTTCCAGGTCATGTATTCTGCGGTTTGTAATACATGGAGTGATTTGGAGAACTGAACAACACACAAGCCGTGTGTAAAGTTCCAGTGTATGCATGCAATCCTGCACCACTTGCTACGGCTGGTACTGCTGCGTACCACGCTCCCATTGCAAGTCTTCCCGGCCATTGCAGCAAGGGTTCGGCATAGTTGTAATACCAAACGCAGATACATAAACACCCACATCACCTGAGGCAAGTGGCAAAAAGGGTTCACCTCTGAACACAGTTGAGCCACTCCACATACTTGGGAATGGGTGATACGTATCACATATAACGATGGGTTGCTGCGGCGGTAACAACTCCACAGTTTCCACGCCAGGGCAGCGAGTGTAAAGCCTATCCACCAATTGCACTATTCGATTGGACACATTTCTCACAGAAATTCTCTTCTATCTATATGATACCCTAGGTTCATCCACCATTCCAACATAGTACATCGAAGTTCAACAATTCAACATACATGAAAACGGGCAACGAATAGTACGAGTTGTGATTTGTTATCTTCCATCTCTGCCTATCGCACCCTCGCTGCGGCGGTACTCCAGAAGTTTCCACGCCAGGGCGGCAACTGTAAAGTCTATCCATCAATCGCAGTACTTGTTGGGACGCATTTCTTGAATAAAATTTTCTTCTATCTATATAATACCCAAAGTTCATCCACCACTCCAACATAGTGTGTTCAAGGTGTGCACTTCAACACAAGACAATAGAGGTGGCCACCCGGATCCGTTAATAGCGGACAGAGGTTAATTCCGTTAATTAATCCGTTAATTAATGGAAAATAACGAAAAAAGACAAAAATTAACCAAAAATTAATGGATTTTTGGATTTTTTGGGGATTTTTGGGTTTTAATCATACTTATAGTTTATGGAATTCGCTATTAGAGAGTATGTTTGTATTTTATTTCAATCTATGCATACTAGATTTTCAACTAGCCGCAGTTGTTGTGATTTTTTGGGTTTTTTTTCGATTTTTTTGGATTTTTTTTATTTTTTCTGAATTTTTCTCCCTTTTTGTGTAACGGAATTTAACGGACAGCTGATAAAAATTAACGAACTGGATTTAACGGACCGGATGGCATCTTGAGTGGCCACCTCTACAAGACAACGGAATATTACAAGTCATGATATTTTATCTTCTATTTCTATGGTACCGCACCCTCGCTGCGGCGGTACTCCACAATTTCCACGCCGGGGCAACGAGGGTGGTCACTGGTGGTGATCCAAACTTTGGAATCCAAAGTCACTACTTCCCCCCTTTCCCTCCCTTCCCTCCCTTCCCTCCCTTCCCTCCCTTCCCTCCCTTCTTGCGTCGATACACTAGCTTCTGCTGCGACCATCCACTCTCTGCCATTTGCCACCCTAGCAAGCTCAAATGATCCACGTTCTCGGGCCTGAGCACCATGCGCTTGGCCGTCACAATGAGACCAACCTTCGAAAATGAGCGTTCACTACTGGCGCTGGAGGTCTGCAACACAACCAAAAATACTCAGTACTTCTCAGCCTGTGAACTTCATAAGGGCACTGTGGCATATATGCATAGCTAGTTGGCATCACAATAAAACCAAACTTGGAAAATGAGCATTCACTGTTGCCGTTGGAAACCTGCAACACAACCAAAGATATTCAGTACTTCCTTCTTTTCAACTCCATATTTCACATAAGGGCACTTTGGTATATATGCACAGCCAGTTGTACTCACCCACTCACCTGTGTTGCTAATATTCGACGTGCAAGCCTGGTCACCAAGGGGAAGCTGGTGTGATTCTCGGCCCACCAATCCCCAGCACTCAATTTTTTTTATATTCACATGCTGGTGTCCATTTCAAATCAAACCACCTTTCGACTTTGGCCTCGATTGGGTCCATGTGCTGTGGGGAGCATGGGGCCCGTCTTCTCCTCTTTGATCGTCGGAAACGTAGTGGTCCCTTAGGTGGGGGTGATGCCGCGTCTAGCCAACTCTGCTGCACAGCCTGTGCTGCATCCTCTTTGGATGATGAGCCCAAGGAATGGACTTCGGGCGCCTTCACCATGTGCCTCAACTGTAGAAGTTATATGCACGCTGTTAGTCACACAAGCAATATATAAAAGCAGGCACCCCATGCAGCCAAGTGATCCCAGGAGACAGCCGTTTAAGGCGAAATACACAACAGGCACAATCATGCATGCAAAGGCACAAAGGACACTTGGTGCCGGCCAAAACTATCCACAGTTGTATGCACACATTTACAAAGGCAAAGGCCACTAGAGGTGGCCACCCGGATCCGTTAATAGCGGATAGAGGTTAATTTCCGTTAATTTTCCGTTAATTAACAGAAAATAACGAAAAAAGACAAAAATTAACTAAAAATTAACGGATTTTTGGATATTTTGGGGGT